GGGGTAGAAGAAGAAGACATGGAGGAAAAAGAGGAGGATGAGCTGGTTTTGGGCGACAAGTTCTCCCCTGGAGGAGGCACCGAAGTGTCACGCACTTCGACGGAGAGCAGTGCAGGGGAATACAGCATGGGCCCTGCATCAGCGAGGGATGACAGCAGGGATTCGGACACCGAGAGCCGTAAGACCGATGCTGCAGTGGACTGAAGACCTCACCCCTAACAGTAATTAAACCCGGTTCACACACGCAGAAACAAGAACTGCAAAAAACAAGTCAGTAAGTAACCAAACAGTAGAGGGGGGGAATTCAAAAAAAAAAAAAAAAAAAAAAAAAAAAAAAAAAAAAAAAAAAAAGGGGGGGGGGGGGGGGGGGGGGGGGGGGGGGGGGGGGGGGGGGGGGGACGGGGAGCAAAGAGGAAAACGAGTTATCAATTAATGTCTGGCCTCACAGGGACCAGAAAGGGGCAAGGAAGCCCACCAAAGACTAACTGGCATGCCAAGGGTCTCGAAATACTCAGCTGGAATGTCAACGGGCTAGGGAACATCTTAGCCGAGGAAGACAAAATCAGAGATATCCGGCTCAGTCTCATAGGTAAAGATCATCCTAGACCTGATATGATACGACTCCAAGAAACCCATCTGTCCAACCTGAACCTAGAGTGGAGAAAACAGCAGGGGGATGTGCCTTCTGGACGTCCAAGATTATGTCCAAAGTCAGATCCTGAACAGCGAAGGAGACAGTGAGGAGCGAAGATGGTCATGGGTAGATATAAGATGGCAAGACAAAGAGCTGAGAATCCTCAACCTATACGCACCCAACGCAGAACCCGAACGAATGATTTTCATTTAGAACATCAGACCTCTTATCCCCAACCCGCAACCGGTGGTCATCATAGGAGATTGGAACACGACTTTGGACCTCAACTTGGACCGGATTTCAAGGATAATATTAATGGATCCCACAAGAGCGGAACCCAGATACATAATATGATGAAAGAATTTGAACTCATCGATCCGTTCAGGCTGCTACACCCGGACAAAAAAAATTCTCCCGGATTACAAAAAACAAGTCAATCGGACCTCACTGTCCAGGATTGACTACTTCCTGATCTCCGAGAGCCTACAAGGGGCAATCAAAGAAGCTGAAATCCGTCCTTCGGCCGCCCTGAACGGCCCTTCATATGACTGGACCACAAGCCCATTTAACGGCTGCTGAATTTTAACTCACCAGTCGAAATAGGACATGGATTTTTCAGGCTGAACACCTCCCTCCTAGCGAATGAGAGGATGTCTGCAGTTGTAAAAAAAAACTGGTCCATAAAAAAACAGTAAGAGTTCAGGCAGACAAACAGGCGCCAATGGTTCATCGACAGTTACACAGACCTAACCCGAAAAGTATCAGCAGAATCGCGGGGCATAGCGAGGGATCGCAAAAGGAGAAGGGAGGAACTCCAATTCGCCATCCCAGTCGCAGAAGCTAACCTAGCGGAGGACCCCTCTAGCCAGTTCTACAAGGACCTACTTGCTGAGACTAAAGAGGAACTAAACGAATGGAGGAGATGTGACTTGAGAGGACTACAACTACGCGCCAGGATGACGGACTACACACTCAATGAATCCATGACTGAATTCTTCTTCTCCAGAATCAAAGCGAATGTCATGAACAACATGATAGAGGGCCTCAAAGACCCAACAGATCAAGAGAATATCAAAACAGCAAGGACAAAGATGGTCAGGATAGCCAAGGTATTCTACGCAGGCTTATACAAGTCGAAAACGCCTTCACCTCCGACCACAACGAGCATAACAGCCCGCCAACACATGTTGTCGTACCTAGACAAAACGATCTCAGCATCTCAAGCGGAAAACCTGGACAACCCCCTAACCCTAGCTGAGCTACACGTAGCCCTGACCCAAATGGGAAACGACAAAGCTCCGGGCGTCGACGACCTCTCGAAAGAAGTGTGGAGTCAATTTTGGCCGACTCTAGGAGAGGATCTGCTTGATTTCTTCAACGACAGCAGGCTGAAGGGAGGCCTAGGCAATAAACTAAGCACCAACGTGGTATCTCTGTTGCACAAGAAGGGAGACAAAAAGACCTGAAGAACTATAGACCCATATCACTACCCACCACTCCCTACAAAATCCTCGCTAAGGCTCTTGCAAATAGAATAACAAAGCTAACAAACAGATGCTTCCATATTGACCAAGCAGGCTTTATCCCTGACCGGTACATACCAGACAATGTGTTGACATTGAATGAGGCATCGAAGAAAATCATGGAAAACCGAATGAAGGCAGCAATCTTGTTCTTTGACTTCGAAAAGGCCTATGATCAAGTCAATTGGGACTTCCTGCATGCCTGCACGGAGAGAATGGGGGTAAGACCCATGTTCAGAAAATGGGTTAGAGTCCTCTACTCAAACGCAACAGGTAGAGTTCAGGTCAATAGGATTTTTTCAGAGACCTACCCGATCTCAAGATCTGTTAGACAAGGCGACCCATTGGCTCCTCCAATCTTCCTCTTCATTACGGAAGCCATAGCCTCCTTCCTCCGGAAGGACCCATCCATCGGCCACCTTACTGAACACGACTTCAACCCATTACACGACTTTGCCCTACCTACGGCACTAATGTTCGTCGACGACCTCACTGTCTTTATTCACGCCAACAACTGCTCATTCCAAGCCCTCGTAAGAGCAATGGAAGCCTTCAGACTGGCATAAAAAATGAAGGTCAATTGAGCTAAAACCGAAGGATGGTGGCTAGCAGACGAGACCCCACCACAACCGACGGATACAACCACACCCATGTCATGGTCTACAAGAGATCTGGCACTAAGATTCCTCGGTATCATGGTAAACAAGTAGGGGGGGTGGCCAGACATGGGCCAAAACCTAGTTGCCATGGCAATAACTTGCATGGCCCCATGCAAAAACGATTAGGCCTCGCTAATTGGAAGAGCATTACTGATCAACACAACAATATTGTCCACATTGTGGTACATGGCATCCATCTGGTCCTGACGACGACCTCAAAACTTTAAAGAACAGGGTTAGATGTTATCTATGGACCGGAGACCCCAACAGGACCATGTGTATCAACGGGGTAGCCCCACATCATCAGGAAACCACAGGAGGGAGGTCTAGGGCTAATTGATCCCAAACAAGAATCCCTAGCACTGGAGATGAAATGGGTTATCAAGATCCTGATAAGACAATTCATTCCATGGACCCAAATGGCTCTAGATAGTATCAGAAATCTAACACCCATCAACTCCCCTCCGAACATGAGAGGCCTTTTCTGGATAATGGCGAAAGACTGGACAATCAAATCAGGCAGACCGCGCAGATGAAACCCAGCAGATCCTGCTACAATCCCCACCCCAACAGCAAATCCATACTGGAAGCCTACCCTCAAAGCTTGGCGAAGAATGATGCCGAGCAAACACGGTGCACTAGGAAACAGAGAAGAGGTCTTGAGACAACCTCTTTTCTGCAATACTTGGATAGTTGATCCGAGTGGCTCACCCCGGACACTACGCACAAAAGACAGGAGATGTCTATCCTGGGTGGAAAAAGGAGTTTGGCAGGTGAAACACATTTGGGCAGAACATCGAAGACAATGGTTACCCAGCCTCTCATAGCATACCGATCCGTTTCTCGAACCAATGCATCCAGCTACCTCTCCAAGTTCTTCTCCTACCCGATCACCAAGCACAACCTACAAAGAGTGGGAAATTATGAATAAAGAACCCCAGTGTGAGATGCTAGACTCCTTCCGATTGGGGAAAGTGAGGGTCCCAAAAGCCAAACCTTGGATAATCTCTCAACCTCCGAAACAGGAGTAATCAATGCTGGTCAGGGTTCCTTCTGCCAAAAGGAAGGAAGCGTGAGAGTGTTCACCATGTATTCCAATTCTCGACTTGTCGGTGGAAAGGAACTGGACTGACGCTCCCCAGAATGGATATGGAGCCAGGACCATGAGGACCTGTTTAAATTAAAAAAAAAAAAAAAAAAAAACTTCAAAGTAAACACCAAGAATGGCAAGAATTGGCAAAATAACTGTATGTATCCTACGCTGATATGGTTATGGTTATCATCCATTCTTTCAGCAAATAACTGTTCGGGACATCTGTTAAAATTATAACGATACAGCTTGGTTGGCGACTGCACCGCTCCGGTTAGCGTGAGTGCTAACGCTGCCCAGGGGACCCGGCTTCGGCTTCGCATGGCAAGGCACGAAGCACCATGGGCGGATGTGACCGCCATTTTTCGAACTTCGAACCCAACGCTATAGGAAGAACGACCTTAAGCCACGTCACGCCACACCCTAGGGTGTGGCGCAGGCCCGTGAGAAAGGGAGGCGAGCTCGAAGGGGTGAAAAGAATAGGGGAGAGGATAGTCTCCACACAGGCAACAAGAGTGGAAAAGGGGGACAAGGAAGGGAAAGGAGAACAAGGACAAGAGAAGATAAGAAGGGCAAGGGACAGAAAACTCTCAGGGAGGAAGGATTCAAACGGAGAAACAGTGATACGGGGAAGAAAAAGTCGCAATAGGGAAATATCGGATACGACCAAAGGTGAGCAATAATCTAGAAACAACGCACAGAGAAGAGGGAGGAACAGGGCAGAAGAGAGGAGCAGTGAGGAAAACAAAGGAAGGGGGGTGTACTCGAAATATGAAAGGGACAACAATGATCAATGCCATTGTCGTTGTCGAGTCACGTCATAATCGAGATCGCCATCGCCGCGCGGCGCCAGTTTCGTGATTACCGCGATCGTCATCATTGGGATACGTCTTCCCTATCATCAGCACATTTACCGTCGTCGGGCCACGACACCATTGTTGTGCTAGTCATCTTTGCAGTCGTGTCGCGCCATTATAGTCATCGTCGGTATTATCTTCGCGAAGATAAGTAATCGACGACAACTCTCCTACTAATTTTCCTTCACCTTTCTTCTCGTTCTTCTCCTTCTTTCTTTTTCCTCTCTTTGTCTTCTTCCTCTTCTTCTTCGTTTGTTCTCCTCTCGTTTTCTTCTCTTTTCTTCCGCTTCTTCTTCTTCCCCTTCTTCTTCTCCTTACGTTTCGCCCCCTCCCACCCTTCCCTCACTACGCACTCAAATCTGAAGCCCCGATCCTGAAGTCTGAAACATTCCCAGATCTGATCTCGAAGCCCAACCCGTTCCCACACCGATCCCATCCCAACATACCCCCTCCCGACCCCAATTCCGTTCCTGCCCTCGTCCCCATCTCTGCCCCTCCCCGATTCCATCCCACTCCAGCTCCATCCCGTTCCCATCCCCCTCCCATCCTGATCCTCCCCACTCTCATCCCGCTCCCGTCCCGATCCCATCCCGCTCCCACCCCGCTACCATCCAGCTCCCAGACCACTCCCATCTCGATCCCCTCCCACCTCCATCCCGTTCCCACCCCGATCCTATCCCACCCATCTCGATCCCATCCCGTTCCTACCTCGTTCCCATCCCGCTCCCATCCCGATTCCATCCCGATCCCACCCATCTCACATCCCACTCCCATCCCGATCCCAGCCCGTTCCCATTTCGATCCCATCCCGATCCCACCCTGATCCAATCCCACTCCCATCCCGCCCCCATCACAAGCCTATCCCACCCACATCCTGATCCCACACTGATCCATTCCCACATCCCGATCCCACCCTTATCCAATCCTCCTACATCCCGATCCCATACCGATCCCGTTCTGCTCCTATCCCGCTCCCATCCTGATCCTATCTCGCCTCCTTCCCGACCCCACTCCGCTCTCATCCAGCTCTCATCCCGCACCCATACCTCTCCCACCTGTCTCCCTTCCCGCTCCTATCTCGCTCCTATCCCGCTCCCATCCCGATCTTATCCCGCCTCCTTCCCGATCCCACTCCGCTCCCGTCCAGCTCCCAGCCCGCTCTCATATCGCTCCCATCCGGCTCCTTTCCCGCTCCTATCCCACTCCTATCCCACTCCCATCCCACTCCTATCTCGCTCCCATCCTGCTCCTATCCCGCTCCCATTCTGCTCCTATCCTGCCTCCTTCTCGCTCCCATCCCGCCCCCATCCCGACCTCGTCCCGCTCCTATCATCCCTCCCCGCTCCTATCCACCTACCCATTCTCTTGCCCCCCTTAGCACCCCCACCCACTTGACCAATTTTTTTTTCCTCGATTTAAGCTCTCTCCTATTAAGTGTACCTCTCATTCACTTTCACGATCACCTTCTTGACACGCAACCGGCCGTCCAAGCGCCTACCCCCTCACTCGCTCCACTGCTTAAGCTCTCCCCGTTGGAACGCTTAATCAACCTTTCCCTTTTAGAAGACCAGCACAAATATCAAGCAACCGACGCTCGAACCACTATAGTCACAACGATGGAGGGCATGGGAATTAAAACGCAAAATTGGCTCGAGCCTCGTGGAACAGACAAGAACACCCCTCATCAAAACCACCAAACTCATTGACCATGGCGCAAACAACAAAGAAGAGATTGTGATCTACAAATACCCCAAAGAATTAACCTCCAAGTCGGAAGAACTCCACAAAAAGCACGCCGTTCTTTTCACCTTCACGAAAAAAAGTCAGGAATTGGACAGACAGGCGTGAAGTGGATATGGGAGCAATTGAAAAGCTTGAAACCAGTCCAAGGGATGAATCCCAAGTCTCCTTCCATCCAAGATCAAGAAACGTCATTATGATGTTATGCATGGATGCGGCACTGACAGTTTTTTTAACAAACAAATATTTTAATTGCAACTCAGCAGTAGTCACAGTGCGCCCATGGAAAAGGGTCGCGCTTATCAGCAGACACCCTTCAAATACAGACATGACTTGATCAAAAAACACTTTTGGATTCAACTCGACAACGTGCCGAAAGGAATGCACGGCTGCGTCAAAGAAAGAGTAAAGATGGAATATGAGAATTTCAAGGAACTGCACTGGAGTGTAGCAACACCGGACTTCCTCACGCCACAACATAATCAAATGACAGTGGTTCTGGACATATGGGAAAGCCCGATGCCGCACACACCTGATGAGTGTTTTTTTCTGCAGGATGAATAATTGCGGTGTCCAGCAAGACCAACCCCTTCTGTTTTAAGTGCAGACAAAGAGGATATCTGGGTACCGATCCCAACTGCACCAAAACAAAGGAAAACTTGAAGCCCAAACCACTCAGAACAGCCAACTTGCAAGAGGTGACGAACGAAAAAGGTTTTTGGTATGCACCGGGTGTGCAATACGCAGGCTGGGTTTTCAACGATAACATGGATGTCCCGGACTGGGTATGGATCTTAGATAGTGAACCAACCCCGAGGACGGAAACATACCCCCCCTATGACAGCAGATGGCAGTCAATGAGGGTAGAAAGGAAATCCCGCAGGTGTTTCACTAAGGATCCAACAATAAATGTGGAAAACCTGAAGCAAGAGATTTGAGAAAGAGATTTGTGCGCGGATTTGCAGTCGGTGCAGGAAAAGGAAGAGATGAAATGGGTAGAAGTGGTCAAGCAAAAGAGGGAATCGGAAAAAGAGAAGGAGAACAATGTAGAGCAAAAGACGTTGTCAGGACCTGTGGGTCCCGAAATAAGTCTTGGCCTTTGAGAGATGGTATATGGCGGAACTGTGCACAACAGAGAAAACCAGAGGTAAGAGAGATAAGAAGGATGGAAGGTCAAAGACACAAGTGTCGCCGCCTAGGGACATAGAGAATACCCTGGGACGCCGGAACCGCTGGACCAGGAAGAGATTATCAGAATAGTAAGCGGCGAAGGGGCACTAAAAAATAGTAAAAGCGGCCCTTCTTCCCAAAGAGAGAAGGACCGCCGGGAAGAAGAAAGCCCTGGGCTGCTTATCGCAGGGAGAAAAGAGTCGAGAGGTCGAGAAAATAATAAGTGAGGGCCGTGGCCGGAAAGACCGGGGCGCGCGGGACATAGAAAAAAGACTAGAAATGAGGCGGCCATGGGGAAGAAAGTGCCAAGAGAAACCGGGACATCGCAAGGGAAAGTGTCGAGGACCATGGGGGAGTAAGTAAAAATAATGGCATATTGGGTCAAGTATCGGAGAGACCACCGGCAGGACAAGTGCCGGCGGGACCACCGGCAGGACGAGTATCGGGGACTAGCGCGGGACAAATGACGGGGACTTGTGATGTCCCAAGACAAAGTTATGCAGGGCCATAAGGAAAGGATGCCCAAAGCAAGAAGTACCGTCAAGATCAAGATTTGTACGACCAAGAATATTAGCACCATTAGTACAAGCACTAGTGGAGGCAAACAGGACGGCTAAAACAAAAAGGGAAAAAAAAAAAAAAAAAAAAAACAAGGCACGACAGCAATCCGAAATATCTCGGATTAGCTACCTTGAAGAAAATGGAGCCAAGAGAAGCTCCATGTGAAAAATAGGCTCCCGGGAGAAAATCGGAGCAAAGGGGGCCACAGTTTGGGAGAAAGGGAGGCAAAAGGAAGCTCCCATGGGCATGGGGGAGACCTAATTGCAGTCCGAGAAATAATGGACTGCACATTGGGTATTGCAAGGGCCAAAACTAAGGGGGAGGGCCTAAAAAAGGCCTTAATGGCTACTTGACACTTGGCATGCTAGAAAAAGAAGGAAAAAGAAAAAAAATATGTGGGAGGATAAGACAAACGGAGTGAGAGGGAGTGAGTGAGTTGGTCGTTAGTAGGGACTGACATGTCCCTACTTTCCAAAAATGGAGAAAAAAAAAAAGAAAAGAAAAGAAAAAAGAAAAGAAAAAAGAAAAAGGCCTTAAACCACCACTACCTTTGCCGAGCCGGGGCAGTTTCAGCCAAGAAGGAGAAAGGGTGAAAAAAAAAGAAGAAAAAGAAAAAACCCAAACATCCCGAACGCCTCGATAACGGCCAGATACATTCTATGAGGTGCTCGTGTGAATGTGCCCTCAGTGAGGGCGTGTAGGGGACACACAAAGGAAAATAAAACAAAACAACCCCCCCCCCCCTTATGCTGCGATTGAGGGTAGATACAGATGCTACAGCATTGAGACAGTTATGTGTCACCTGTGAAATACGCCCTACCTGCCTGGCAGGGCACTAAAAAGATATGGGAACAAAATCAAAACAAAACAAAAAAGCAAGCCCCTTCCCCACATAGTGGCCAGATACATTCATCAAAGGCCTCTGCAACTTTCACCCTTGTGAGGGTCTTCCCCGACGTCCCTGGATTTGAAACTTTTTTTTTTTTTTTTTTTTTTTTTCCGTCGGCCTTCAACCCTGCCTCGAGCCCTGTGTTTTAAGGAATAGGCTACTAGATGGACTCCGCGTTTGCTTGTGAAAGGTAGTGGTGGTTTAACGGTAAAAAACGGTCACTTGGGGAGATACATCCGTGACCATATACATTATGGGATATGGTAATTGCAATGGATCTTGATTCTTCTTTGATTTTGCTGAGAAAATCAAGAAAAATCAAGGCCTCATGCAACCGATATATAATGGATTGCATGGGGAGGAGAAAACACATGTTTTAGATGCATCCGGAGTCAATATGGAGTCTGGATGCACTTGGGAGTTGGTCGCTTCCTTTTGTTTCAGTTTAAGGCATGTTGTGGTCCATGAGGCTAGGAAAAAGGCCATTATGGCAGTCCGAGAAATAACAGACTGCATCGGGAGGCCTAGGCCAAAAGGAAAAGGGCCTTGGCTCACCCAAGACACTAGAAAAGAGTGTCTTTGGTTTGGGCAAATAAAGACGGTAAGTGGGGCCCGCGAGATGGTGAGTCTCATGGCCTAGAATATTCGCGGTACTTGAGGCCCATGAGAAGAAGGGATTGGGGCTGCCGGGGACAAGGAGGTCCCAAATAAGAATGGGACGTCACCGGGAATGATGTCGGGGACTAAATGAGCCCAAATAAAATAATTAAAATTTGGGACATGCGCCGGCGGGACCACGACCGGGACTAGAAAATGGAACCAGCATGAGAGGATGGCGGGGACTTGAGCAGTCCCAAGAGAACCATGGGCTAGCAAAAGAAGAGAATTATGCAAGCAGTAGCGTCTTCAAGATCAAAGATCTTGACGGTGAAAAATATTAGCCACTGTGAGTGCAAACTGAAAAGAGTCTAATGAGCGCGTACTAGGAGGCAAAGTGAGAGAAAAGGAGTAAAGGAGGGGCTGCCCAGCAGTCCGAGATATCCCGGACTAGCAAGGCACAAGAAAATAGAGCCCCCATAGGCTCTATGCAGAAAATAAGCTGCCAAGGAAAAATCGGAGCACAATGGGGCTCAAAATTGAGAAAACGGAGGCAAACGGTAGCCCCTATGAGCATGGGGGCTCCATTATTGCAATCCGAGTTGCAACGGCCAACTGCTTGCCATGAGTCTAGCTTTTAATAAGGTCCTAAGGCCTAGAAAAATGGTGCACAACAGTTTGACACTTGGCATAACAGAAATAAACGAAAAAAGAGAGAAAAATTGGAGAAAAAAAAGGGTGGATGAGACAAAAGGGGAGAAAAGGGTGGAGGAGAATGTGTCGGTCAATTGAGACTGACATAGTAGGGACTGGCAGGTCCCTACTGTGACCTCATCCCTCCAAATTTTGTGGAGGGCAATCCGGATTGCAGGGCAATAGGGCATTATCTCATAAATATCTTAATTTAAAACGGCAAAAATGGGCAAAAATGCAAAAAGGAGTTGGCCGTTTTCTTTGTGAGTCATGGACCTGA